CTGAAGCGCTGTAGCTTAGACGTCTTTCCTTTTGCCTTTTTGCAGTCACTGTGAGCCTTGCTCAGAGAGGAGAAAGCACTTGTTTGTACAAGATCCCCAGACCTGTAAATGTTCCTGCAAAAACACAGATTCACGTTGCAAATCGAGGCAGCTTGAGTTAAACGAGCGCACTTGCAGGTTTGTGTCCTGAAGGATGAAAGAGAAACACACAAAGAGAGAGAAAGAAAGAGAGAGAGAAAGAGGGGGGAGCTTGCTTCCTGCTGGCTTCTGGCACCATTGCTCTGTGATCGCTCCTTTCCTCTGTACTATGGGGGCTGGAGGGCTGAGGGATAATTAGGATGGGGAGAGCATTTACACTTTGCCAGATGTTTGCTGTGAGCTTCTGTGTGTGCTTGTCAGGATTGGATGAGATACTCTGATAGCCGAGGTGTTTGTGCTCAAGGAGTCCTCTCATAGAACAAGATGGTGGCTTTCAGGTTGCTGTGTTAAGCAGGGAAGGAGCCTGTAGCTCTGGATGCTTCACACTGGATTCCCTTTGCAGAGAGGACAAGAAGAAAAGTCCCTTTTCTTCAGAGGAAATGTAACCCCTCTCCTCTGGTCCTCTGGAGAGAGAAGAGCCAAACCCCTCCCTGCAACCCCCTAGCATTTTTCTGCCCTCTTGCTCCTAAAAGCCAGGGGGGAACTCTTGTACTGCACTTTGCACACAGTATGCCTCACATCCACTAACTGTTAAAGGCACATTTCTGGTTGAGGCCTACACTCTGTGCTGTGCCCCACACCATGGTGCCTGTTTATAGGATGTGCAAGGCAGAGGGTCCCTTCTTTAGTCTGCCTATGAGAACCAGATACAGAGAGACTGTGTGCTTAGGGCCTGTTTAGTGACCTACACTGCCTGTATATATCTCTGTGTGTTTGCTTTTGTGCATCTCCATAGAGAAACATGACTAGGAACAGTGGCCTGGTCCTTACTTGTGTCAATCAGTACAGCTTCACTGAATTGTGGGGAGCTATGCTGCTTTACATTGGCTGAAGATCTGTCTCTGCGTGCATGTGTGTAACGTGTGAGAGCATACATACATACATACATACATACATATATATATATATATATACAGGCACATGAAACTGATTGCTGAGATCCCCCTCTGGACTGGCCTAGTGCTATAAACTCTAGCTCCCGTTCACAAAGATTCTGGAGTCTGTTCCCATCAAGAGAGCATTGCACTGTTTATAGTCAGGCTAAAAGGTCAAACAGTTATGAAATGAGGGTCCCCTGTGGCTAGAGGCTGGAAGCTGAGGCATCTGTTTGCCTGCCTGGTAAAACTTTGTGGCTGGGCAGTGTCTGTGTATTGAGCCCTCCCTTGGAGATTTGGTGCTTGCCAAGCCAACTGCCTCGTGCCATTGTGCTTTGTGCCAAACCCTACGAAGCCTGGCCCTCCGGCATTGCCAGGGTTTGAGAAACTGCTTTGGATGCAGAGAAGTTATCTGGGAAGGAGTTACCTGAATGGGAGGGTGACTGGTGTTGGGGCCAGAACAGAGCCAGTTCTTCTTGAGTTACGTTTCACCCTGCAGGCACAGTTCCCTGGAGAGTGAGAACAGACAGCTCCCTACCCTTGACTTTTATCTCCTACTGCTGTGTCCCACTCCCCCCTCCCTTTTGCCACTCCCAGAACAGCTGGCATTACCCCTACAGAGTTCAAGGGTGGGAAACAGTCTCAAGTGAAAAAAAAATCTCCCTGGCTTGGGGAATTATTAGTCTTTCTTGCCAGTCCCTCCCTGTGGTGGGGTGAGTGGCATGATTAGAGGTTTCCAGAGGTAGTGCATTGGCCAGGAGCACAGGATGGAGTCATAGGAGTGGGTAATTTAGCTGTTTCCTGATTTAAAGCTGGTTAAGCTGAAGTTCCTCCCCCTCTCTTCTCTGGAGTTTCTGAAGTTGGGCCCTACGGGGCAGGGCAAGTTCTTGTTTCTCCTGCTGCTTCTGCAAGCTGCTGCTGCTGCTTTTCTCTGGCACTAACCCCTGCTCTCAGCAGCCAGTGGAATGAGAGGCACTTTCCTTTCATCTTTTTGCTTGCATGAGACTCTTGGCTGCACTGCTTCAAATGGAAATGACAGGCTAAATGGAGAGTCACTGTGTGTGTGTGTGTGTGTGTGTGTGTGTGTGTGTGTGTGTGTGTGTGACTGCATGGGAGGCTCAGGCCCTGTGCGCACGTGTGTGTGGGTAGATGGTAAGGGTAAATGGAAAGCAAGGTGGGGTTGAAGGTTGAGGAGGAAGAAAGCTCTTTTGCTGTGACTCTGCTCCTAAACTCACCCCCTAACCTCAACCTAGGAGAACCCAGGGGAATGTATTTCGTCCAGGTTGATATCTTTAGTTATATTGTCCCACCTTCCACAGATGTGTGAAAAGTCTGCGGTGCCCCAGCAGGGGTGCAGTAGCATAGAAATGCTGCCGCCTTAACCTCACCACCCACCCTTCTTCACCTCTGCCCCATCCCCCACAAATCACAAATGTAACCTCTCCTCTTTCTTCCCTCTCCTTCCTGGCAGATGTGACAAGCCAAGACGGTGAGCAGCGGAGAAGAAGGGGGAACAGCCCTGTTTTTGGAGCCTGATTTCTCACCTGGACAGGAAAAAAAACACTAATCCAAATGAACCTTAAAATGAAGGATCGGTAGAGCACAGCACTTTCAGTACGGACGATGGACTCTGGAAGGAACATTCCCCAAGGCACCCGCCGCACAGAATACACCTTTTGGTTTTGAACTGTTGTTTTTTGTTTTCTTTTCATGCTGCTAAATAATGGAGCCAGGAAGACTATAGGGTGTATTTTATGGGATTCCCATACATACATATATATGTGTGTGTGTGTATGTATGTATACACACACACACACACACATACTTACACACACATATATATGTGTGTGTATGTATGTGTGTGTGTGTGTGTGTATGTGTTTATTTTTAACCACATATACATATATAGAGAGAGCGAAAATGTGCGTGTGTATATATCTGTGTGTGTGTGTGTGTGTGTGTATACATACATACACACACACACACTGATTTTTTTTAACATTACTAATGTTATTGGTGTCTTCACTGGATATATTCGACTGCTGTGGACACAAGCGGGCTACTTGGGGCATAAGAAACAAGCTAAGACTGGACTTTGGCAGAAGCGCTGAGTGTAATCTTCTTAACCCTTACTGACTTGTGCGGCTTCTGCTGTTTCTCTGTAAAGCGTGCTGTTCCACAAACCACATTCTCCTCACCTTGGAAAGGGAGAAGAATTAACAGAGAGGAGGGGCAGGGGATTCTAAAGAGCAGCGCCTCAAGGTGTTATGGTCAAAGATCACGGAAATGGCTCAGGATGCTGGGCCGGCTGCATGATTGAGGATTCCTTTTCCCCTCCTTCCCACAACCTTCACCCTGACTCATCTCATGACCTGTCTGCCTTGCTTGCACATGGGACATCAGTGTATGTTTTGTGTTGGTATCACTCACTGTAGAAACTCTGCCAGGGGTACAGTCTGGCCTTAAAGGATGGTGAGCAGCTGATACACAAACCTTTACGCTCAAGGAAGTATCACAGGAGTCTACATTTTCCGCTGTTGGTGGCTGCAAAAAGGACACATGGCCTACAGTGTGCTGAAGCAAGAATGGGGACCGGTGTATAGCCACGCCTTCAGCACTGTCTGCTCTCTTCATGCACAGAGCTGCCACTGAAGAGCATCCAAGATGCTTATGGAACGTTTCTGGAAAGGGATATTAATCAAAAGTATATACACAGTAGGGTTGCGTGTATGTGTGTCATGAATGTGTGCGCATGTGTGCGTGTGTGTGTATAATTATATTATTTTAAATATATGTGGCTAAGACTTTCAAAAAAATTGCTTGGGATTTTGTCTGCCTTATTTTTCAGGTGCCCAAGCTGTTTCCTCCCTAAAGAGGCCTGATTCTTCACAAAGTGCTGGACAGCTGCCCTCTTAATGTCAGGTGCCCCTGAAGTGTGTTGGGCACTCAAAGCTGAGTCACGCAAAATCTCAAGTCACTGCTGAAAGTCTGGGCTGTGTGTATGTGTGTGTGTATATCAGTAATACGTGATGGTGTGTATATATATATACACACACATACCCCCATGCCCACACACAACAATGTGTGTTTGTATGTCTATGTGGATATATAATCTAGTTCTGTGATTTAAAAACGCAGTCACCCAAAAGGTACTAGGTCTGTGTCAGAATGCTGCCAAATGTCATCTGCAATTGAACTTTCAACGCCTGATAATGTACCAAATGGGAAGCTTCCAAAAGACAAGACAGTCTAAAAACAGACTCACAACAAGTGACTACTAACCACTAGGAATTCCCCATGCAGCTGATGGCTTTCAGAGAGAGAGAAACATGCCGGCGTCTGCCTGCCTCCAACACGTATATATGTTCCTGCTGCATCATGTGCAAGACAGAGACTTCCAAGGGGGGAAGAGAAAGTGTTTTATATACTTATTTAATATCCCTTTTAAAATTAGAAATTAAACAGATAATTTAATTAAAGAGTAGGGATTTTTCAGTATTCTTTGTTAATATTTAATTTCAACTATTTATAAGTCATACCTCTTTTTTTTTTTTTTTTATTTGTACTGGTTGTGTATAAATTTAACTCCTATGGTCCCATCCCATATCTCCCCAATTGTTGGCAGAGTCAGTAGCATGTTATAGGCAGTTATTTAATTAATTTCTCTAACACATCCCCCTACACATTCCTATTGCGACAAGGGTTAGATATACATCTACATATTATATATATATATATATATATATATATTTGGCTATGCGTGTGTGTATATATGTGTGTATATATATATATATATATATATATGTATATATATGTATGTATGTATGTATGTATATGTATATATATACACATATATGTTTATGTATATGTGTGATTCGGATTAAATAGACACTACGAATTTTTATATATGTAAAAAAACCCAGGAAAAATAGAAAATTTTACATCTTGAATCTCTCTCCTTTTTAATTTTAATATTTGTTATCATTTTATTTATTGGTGCTACTGTTTATCTGTAATAATTGCGGGGAAAAAAGATATTAACACTACATATTGTGTCTAGTGAATTTTTTCAAGATATTCCATAGTACATATTTATTTTTAAACAAAGAATTTACAGATATATCTTAAAAACGACGACGGCAACAAACAAACCTTTTTTGTATTAAAGAATTTAATTCAGACCTTGATTTCCTTTGCCTTCTCCTTCTGCTTTATATCCCATTGTTTGTTTGTTTTTATTCCTCCAGTATGGAAACAGCCCCTCAAGAGTTGTCTTTGGAAATGGTGGGTCACCTTTAGATGTGGTTTGGAAGAAGGGCTTGGGTCTTCAAGTAGTCTTGGGTCATTTCGTTGTCTCTGGTGAGACCACCAGCCTGGGAGTCAGGAGACAAGTCTTTCCTCATCCGCCATAATTGCTAAGATCAAAGCCTCATTGTGTTTGCATGTGTATTTATTGCGCAGTAACTTACTGTGCAGTAAGCGGCTTTTATAGTGGCGTCTATGCGTGCAGGTGTTACAGCACATTAACACTGTGTGTGGGCTGACTTGGGACTAAAGTCAGTCCCAGGTCAGTCCACACAAACAGGGTTACTGCATAGTAAGGCATCTACATGAGTCTTACTACACAGTAACTATTTGGCATGATGCAGGTAGCAAATTTATGCCCAAGTCGGCATAAGTCACCATAGGTACTACACAGTATGGGTGTGCATGTGTAGATGCGTGTCTGTAGTGTACAGTAATTTTCAGTTGCTGCACAGTAATCTAAGTTACTGCTCAGTAACGGTGTACATGTAGATACACCTAATGTGTGCTAGGCAGACAAGGTTATTTGGGTGAATGTGATATCTTTTTTTAAGCCAACTGAATAGTTGGAATAACTTTTCTTTGCAAGCTTTTGGGCACAGGTGCCCTTCCTCAGGCATAGGGAGAGTCTGCTGGTCTTTGTCTTTTCTCTAGGGTCCAAATCGAAGCTGAAGCCAATATGCAAAATGCAGGTCTATGAAAATGCAAATGGGTAGCAGAGATAATAGGCATGAGACAGGTTGGGGGTGGGAGGGAAACAGGGAATGCTGACAGGTGATGTAATCCAGCTGGGAAAATGAGATGTTACCTGGGGTTATCAGATGGCAGGCAGGTTATAACGTGCCATAAATCCAATTTCTATATTTAATCCATGATTTTTTTTGTATCCATTAGATTTATGAAGTGAAGTTCGTAGGCTCGTCTATGACAGATGCTTTGTAAATTCCCTTTGAGGATTAGAACTGAGAGATTGGAGAGAGAGTGGTTATCTTGTGAGAAATGTGCACCCACAGGTAATTGGGTATTTTTGTCCTCTTTAGATTTACAGTGCACATTCAGTCTGGTATGCAGTTGTGGTTTGGTTTCTCCTACATAGTTTCCATCTGGGCATTTAGTGTACTGGCTGAGATATACTATGTTTCTGGAGGTGCAGGTGTAAGATCCAGGAATGGTGATGGTTCTGTTTTGGGACGTAGTTATTGTGAGAGTGGTGAAATGTTGGCAGGTTTTACATTTCTTATCCCAGTGTGGTCTAGATCCATCCTGGGATCATTGGGTGCTAGACATGCCCCTGGCTCACCTACAGACACACGGAGCTAGACATTAGCCTAATGGTATACAAGGATCTTGCTGTCTAAGGCATGTGACGTAACAGACTGTGTGGACCTGATTTTCTCCCATACTATTGTAAACGCTTGATTTTTTACATCAGTACATTAGCAATGGCATAGTCAAGACATCATTTTGTAGCATGATCTCAGGCAAATCCCTCCAGATCTCTATGCCTCAGTTTATCCCTTCATAAAATGTGGATGATGATGCCAAGGCATCTCTGTAAAATGGGATCACTGGATTAAGTAGCACTGTGTAAGTATTAAGCCATCTCCTTCCTTCTTTCTTTCCTTCCTTCCTTCCCAGCCATGGAGGGGAGTGTATCAGATATGGTTAAGCCTCTAGTTGCCTTGGAGAAGAGCAGCCCTTCCCAGGTGCCTTCCATGAGCCTGGGCCTATAGATATTATTCACTAGCATTGGTAGGATTAACAGAGTCAGTGGAATACAGGGTGTGTCTACGCTGCGGCCACAGGTGCATATGACTTCCCAGTAAGGAAAAAGGCCATGCCAAGCTGCTAGTTGCCATGGTTTCACTGTTCCCAGGACCCATGCTAGCTTGTATGAAGCTAGCTTAGATAACTACTATGCCTGTGGTGGCAGTGTCAATACACATATAGTTACATAACTTGCCCTGGAGGAAGCAGTTTGGGGGAAGGGCAGCAGGGTTTTTAGGAGGCCCTACCTTTTTATTAATTTGTGCCGGTTTCATTTACTAGCACCTTGTAAGCCCAGCAAGAGCATAGATGTTTCCAAGTTCACAAGTAATAGAGGCCATCTGGGCGGCTACCATGGGCACAGCTGCAAAATCCTTTTAGCAGTATAACCTTGGGCCCCAGGAACTCAGCTGGCTTTCTTCAAGGTATCGTTAGGATAGGATGAATCCAAGAGCTCAGAGAAGTTATGTGATCCAAACCCATCCTGTCACCCTACCTGCTCTTTATTTGCACAGGGAATGGTAATGACAATGTGTCTCTCATGTTAAACTTCACAGGGGTGTTGGAAAAATCAGACATTTGCAAAGTCAGGCAACTCTGGTATCCTGCCACTCA